TTTGTATCTCTGTCATCTAGTGGTCAGAGTTCCTGGCTACAGATTCACGTTACGCGCCCATCATATGAAGCATATAACCTCCAAAGCCATACAAAGTACGGCCCTGTCTCTTCAGAGCATACTCGTAGACCACATCCATTGCAGTCACGGTCTTCCGCTTTGCATGCTCGGTGTATGTTACGGCATCGCGAATAACATTCTCCAGAAACACTTTCAACACACCAGATTCGATTCCCGGCGCTACCGGATTTTCTGAGAAGTAGTGTGTCTGGAACGGGGTCCACTCAGCCTCGTGAAGATAAATGAGGAGCCACTAGCCACTTCAATTGAAAAGTGCGGCTCCGGTCTAGAAAACCGAGATTAACGGCCGTGGGATCCGTTGCGCTGACCACGTGACACCCTCTATCCGAAATGTTGGCACTAACTTCTCTGACAAGCGGCGGTCGCTTAGTCGGTATAGTTCGCTTGCGAACTAAAAGCCACGGAGTATTTTTTTAGCTTGCAACCCACAATTAATGTTGTTTCAAAAAATAAGATCACAGATGGGCCAACAACATCTGTGACAGAAAACAATATATTGTGTCTTTTGAAAGTGTACAAATACTGTAGAGGTTCCAGACCTTCGTAACTGGCAGAGTAACGCAATTCTGTTTCAAGTTTAATTCGGTATACTATTGTTTCCTTGAACCAAGTCAGTTTCTTCTGTATTTTCGGCACTGTCATAACCTTTCACTGCTTACGTGATATTTATATGCTATTTTGCCTTCTGAGGTCATCTCCTTAACAAGTGCACTAGCTGCACCGAACTGATCTCTGTATCTAGGCCAGTTTCTTGCGAAATGGATTTCTTTTTCTGGTATCCCCCGTATAGTTGCTGTTTCACTCAGTAACAGGACTGGTAAACCGACACCAACGCGCAAACGCAGTTTATTAAAAACTTATCCACTTAACTTCCCCCAGATATGGATATAAACTTGAAATCAAAATACTGGATTCCGAGGAACTTGACTTCAAGCTACATGCCGTGTTTCTAGGTCTGACCTCTTGGCTTGCTCTTTGAGAAGTATGACAAGAAGTAGTGGGGCAGTGGTTGCAGTTACTTTGCCGGCAGGAGAGTGGAAGAGAAAGAGAGGGAATGACACTGTAACTCCGGCTCTCTACTACCCATAAGACATTTAGTGGACACTACAATTCAGGCCATACCATAGCTCAAGCGGTTAGTCGCCAGCTACGGTCGCAGGTCAGGTTCTTTGGGGTTTGCGGTGGCACTCGGCTGGTTTTCTTGGAATATTTCGGTTTCGCCTGGGGAGCCAAGATAGCGCAGTCGGTATAGCGACTGACTACGGGCTGGACGACCGAGGAGTCGGAGTTCGAATCCCGACCGACACTGGGGCCCACCAAGCCTCTTACCCAATTGGTACCGAGGGATTTTTCCCCTGGGGTAAAGCAGTGACCACTCATCTTATAACCAGTGCCGAGGACAAGAAAATGTGGGTCTATGCATTCACTCTCCCATACGCCTTCATGGCATTGTGCTTAATTAGTTGAGCACAAGGACACACAGTTTGGCCTGCACAGTTGAAGACTGAAAGGCAAAACTGACGTGTGTGGTGCGGCCGGCCGGCCAATCGTTTGGACTGTTGGCCTGTGGGAAACCCGTCAGTCCGTCAGTTCTACCTGCAGGACCGTAGCACGTGACGTACGTGACTCAACACTATAGGCTGGAAGACCATGATTGTGGCATGAAGCCTGGTGCTTTATCTGCCGTGTATGGGGAGGAAAGGGAGGGGGTAAACTGTCACAGTTTTGCCTGTAAGGTCGATCGGAAGGCCAAACTGTGTGTATGAGGGGCCTTACTTCGGTTTCGCCTACCGGTTCTCATTCCACCAATTGCTCGACGTTCGTGATTCCTGTCACCCGACACCGTATAGGCGCCATTAAGTATCCAACAAATACATTGCACGGTCTGAGAATGGCCAGACTTAGAAACACGGATGGTACTTGTGTGTTACTTGACAAGTGTGAGCGAGGCTTGGTTCTAACTTGCGGCAGTGAAGCGTCAAATAATACATGAAGATGATCATGAATGCGGACATTGCAGAGACTTACGTGACATATTGCTACACAGAGCAAGGGACTTGAGGAATGTTGACAAGGAACAATTGACAGCCGAGTTGCTGCTACCAGCAACCACCAGAAAGCAATAATGCAGGCCCATTCCGCCCCCTTCACTCACGGAGATTGAAAGGGGAGATACACTCCCTCTTGTCACCCTTTATATGACACTCTGGCTTGGAAACCACCGCCATATATTTGAAATTCAATTGGGGTATCTTCAAGTATCTCGGAACCTCACCAGCGACTAGACACAGGGTGGCGGACAAATCACTACCCTGCGGGATTCTCGTTTGCTTGAAATAATTCTGTAAAATGTATACTTCATTTGTAATGGCTCTGTATACGAGCAGTGCCAGTGAAACGAAATTATGGCATCATAAAGCACTGGCGCGTGGACGAAGGGACGCTTGGAAAGCGACACAGTTCCACGAAATAATACTGGGAGCGGGGGAAAGATCGCCATTAATGAAGTCATTACGGCCATTTGAGAATAACAGTGGTATGAATCCCGTGTCTTTGGCGCAACCATAGCTCTGGCGTGTTTTGCCCTTCACAGCTTTTGCTCTAAATACTGTTCCTGTTATTCGAACACTACAGAGCCCACTTAAATGTATAATTTTATAAACTTTCTGACGTCTGCTTTGCAGTACACAGTAATAACAGCCATCTGTGACGCCGGTACAGTTGCTTGTTCGCTTCCTTAATGTTTATCAGACGTATATATATTTAAGGAAGCCGGAATAGCAAAGTCGGTATAAGAACTGGCTACTGGCTGGACGACCGAGAGGCCGCAGTTCGAGTCCCGGTGGGGTGAAGATTTCTCTCTCTCCGCGTCGTCGTTCTGGGGCTCAGCCAACCTCCTATCCAATGGGTACTGGGGGATAAAGTGGCCAGGGCGTGAAGCTGACCACTCTTCTCAACCGTACCTATGTACAGTCGACATTGGAAAGGCGAACAAAGAATAACGTGGTCGCCTTCTCTCTCTCTCTCTCTCTCTCTCATTGGTCGCAAGCGCAGTTCTTTGGTCAGTTCTTCCGTGACTTGGAGCAGTCTGTTTTTAAGCGTTTTATTTATTTGGGGTTTTCTTATGTTATCTTTAATAATAGCCAGGCATAGTGGCACTAAAGAAAGTTACTAGAGGTGAAAATCATGAGAGAAAAATCATAATTTCTGCAATAGAAATGAAAAAGGAACTAATTATTTGGGTATGAATGTATGAGGGGTAGGCCTCGGTCCTTGCGCCGCGACCTACAGTGGTCTGTTGTGCTTTATTAAGTGGATAAGTAGTACACTTTTATCGGACCTTGCTGCTTAGTATCCTTCCTACTAATATTGTTGATTGATTGTAATACAATATTTTCATGTATGTACTATTATAAATAAAACATTCAGTTATTGAAATTGATATACTTGTTTTATCATTATGTACCAATATTATCTTTTGAAATAGGCACTTAAAATATTTTATACTGAATAAATTTTGGGGGTCTGGAACGGATTAATTCCATTTACATTATTTCAAAATGGGTTTACTCAAAAGTCGAACCGTCTCCTGGAACGGATTGTGTTCGAAGTTCGAGTTTGCACTGTACTTAAGTCGGATTTGAGGTTTTTACATAGGTGACCATGAAGATTTCTAGGGTATAACATGTAGTCTGGAGAAAGTCAACAGACATTTCGGAGGAAGATATGGCCTCCATATTCAGTTCGAAGAGTAAGCGAAGCAATCCAGCATTGAAACCTTCTTGTTTTATCGAGACTGAACATGGAGGCGATATGTTCCTCCGCAATATCGGTAGACTTTCTCCTAACTACGTGGCATTATAGCCCAAGAGGTGGAATTCATATTTGTTCTCATCCAAGGAATGTTTGCTGCCATTTAAGCCACAATCTTTCGTTTTCTGACTGCTATTCAAAGTATATACACGTATATTGAACCGTACAAAACTATAATTTTACCTGTTGCTTTATGCGGATGTGAAACGTTTGTCTTTCGCTTTAAGGGAAGGACGTGTTGATGATGCTTGGAAGCAGTGTGCTGAGGGGGACATTCGGACCAAAGGGAGAGGATGTAACAGGAGACTGGAATGGTGAACACCGTGGTTCAGTGGGTAGCACTCCTTCGTATTCAACAGGTTCTGGGTTCAAGGTTCGTCGTGGTTCTCATCGTTACCACCGAATAATGGGGGACACGCGGTAACGTAATTGGTTCAGGCATTATGCTACAAGCCGGAAGGTCGCGGATTCAAGTCCCGATGAGGTCACTGGATTTTTTCAATTGGCCTAATCCATCCAGCTGCACTATGGCCCTGGGGTGGACTCAGCCTCTAACAGAAATGAGTATTAGGAATATTCTTGGGGGTAAAAGGCGGCCGGCGGACTGACAACCTTGCCGCCATCTATGAGCCGATTGTCTAGAAAATGTGGGAACCTCAGCATCTCAGAACGCTGTGGACCTCCACGGCGTGTTACAGGGATACCTTTACTTTACTTGCCACCGAAAAATGTCGTGACAGACTTAAAATTAGACGATGGCTTTCTTTTTCACGCCCTATCCAACTTACTCTTGTTCTCAGAACCTCTGTCTATCGACAATTTCTTCAGTATTCTGAACTACGCACAGCACTATTAAATAAAAAAAAACTAACAGACTCCTCAGAAAATCTGGTAGTGCCGGGAATTGAATCCAGGACTTCGGGATCTGTAGCTAGGAACTCTGACCACTAGACCACAGAGGCGGTCTTGATGGAATAATAATCAGCGGGAGAAACACGAAGAAACACTGCTGCAGTGCCACGTCACCCAGGATTCCTGGCGCTGGACTTTTAATTATGCCACCTTACTGTTGGTGAGTTTGTAAGAGATATTTTTATCTGCTGCAGGTGTGTCGGAACTGGAGTTGACGGTGGAGCCACAAGATACTGTGGTGGTGCCGGGCAATGCCGCAATATTCAACTGTGCGGCCGCCAGTTCAATTCCAGGCGTAACTCCCACTATCCGGTGGCGGGAAGACGGACAGTTCCTCTCCTCCATCGGCGACCAGTACAGGTAAGAAATACCCTTGAGCCACACAAATACTCAAAGTGCAGGAGTTCTCAACCTGTTGCTCACCGCCCGGCTCGTGTCCATATGTAGACGCAGTAAAAATAAATGGGGATAATCTGAACAATCTAAGACATGAAACCAGCAGGCATTTCAGGAATGAAAAGAGGGAATATCTGGAAGACAAAATTAATGAGCTTGCAATGGACAGGAAGAACAAGAACAGTAGAGACCTGTATAGAGGAATAAATGAATTTAAGGGGGTTATCAACCTAGAAATAACTTAATTGAGGATGAGAATGCTGATCTCCCTGCAGATTCCCACAATATTTTTAATAGGTGGAGGACCTACTTCTCTCAGTTACTGAATGTACATAGGGTCAGCGATGTTAGGCAGACAGAAATCGATACAGCTGAGCCGTTAGTACTTGATCCTAGCCCTTTTGAGGTTGAAATTGCTATTGCATAGTTGAAAAGGTATGAATCGCCAGGTAGTGATCAAATTCCGGCAGAACTGATTTAATCAGGAAGTGAAACATTATGGTCTGAGATCCATAAGCTGATTACTTATATTTGGCATAAAGAAAAAGTGTCTGTTCAGTGGAATTAGTCTATTATTGTACCAGTTCGCAAGAAGAATGATAAAACTGACTGTAATAATTACTTGGGGATATCACTGCTATGAACTTCATACAAAATTTTATTCAATATTCTTCTCTCAAGGTTAATTCCATACATAGATGAAATTGTTTGGGATCATCAGTTTGGGTTTCGACTTAACAGTTCAACTACTGATCAGATATTTTGCATTCATCAGATACTGGAGAAAAAATGGGAGTACAGCGAGACAGTACATCAGCTATTCACAGACTTCAAGAAAGTCTATGATTCAGTTAGGAGGGAAGTATTGTAAGGTAGTCTCGTAGAGTTTGGGGTACCCATGTAACTAGGTAGTATGGTTAAAATGTGTTTATACGAAACATTAAAGTATGTATAGGTAGACATTTGTCTGATAATTTTCCTATGCAGAATGGTCTAAATCAAGGAGATGCTTTATTGTCACAACTTTTCAACTTTGCTTTGAATAGAATATGCCATTAGGAAGGTCCACGAAAACCAGGTGGGACAGAAATTAATTGGGACACATCAGCTACTAGTCTATGCTGATAATGTGAACCTACAGAGTGATAACAGTTACCATAAAGAGAAACACAAACTTTAATGGACGCTAGTAAGGAAATTGGTCTGTAAGTATACACAGAGAAAACTAAGTATGTGTTGCTGTCTCTTCCCCAGAATGCAGGGCAAAATCGTGACATAAGGATAGGTAACAGATGTTTTGCAAATCTGGCACATTTCAGATATTTGGAACAACTATAACAGATTAAAATTTGATTCATGAGGAAATTAAGAGGAGACTGAATTCGGGTAATGCTTGCTACCATTCAGTCCAGAAGCTTTGTCTCTCGTTTTCTGTCTAAAAACATTAAAAGTAGAATGTTCAAAAGTGTAATTTAACCTGTGGTTCTGTATGGATGTGAGACTTGGTCTTTGATATTAAGGGAGGTTGTTCAAGAACAGGCTGCCGAGGTGAATATTTGGGCCGAAGAGAGATGAAGTGACGGGAGGGTGGAGAAAACTGCATCAGGAGCAGCTTCATAACTTCTGCTCTTCTCTGAATGTAATTGGAATGATCACGGAGGATGAGATGGGCATGGCATATAGCACGAATGGGGTAGAAGAAGAATTTATGTAGGATATTGGTGAGAAAGCCAGAAGGAAAGAGACCACAGGGAAGACCAAGGCGTGGGTGGGTGGGTAATATTAAGGTGGATCTTAGAGAGACAGGATGGAATGTTGTGGACTGGATCGGTCTGGCTCAGGATAGGAGGACCAGTGGAGGACCGTTGTGAACACGGTGATGAACCTTCGGGTTCTATAAAGTGCTGTGAAGTTCTCGATTAACTGCACAACTGGCGGCTTCTGAACAAGGGCTTAGCCCCATGAAGTAGGTTAAGAGTCCTATATTGCATGCTGTTGCCTTGAGTTTTGTTGCATGGATTTTATGACGTGTGCAGCCTAGCAATATTATCGTCTTGAACATCCAATTAATGAATATACGAGTATACAGAAGGGCCGAGGTATGTATAGACAACTATGCCGCCATCTTTTTTGATTATCCTTCCATTCGATAAGGTTGCTGTGGCACTCATGTGACTAACGCTATCTTTTGAGAGAATATCACACTACACACCGTACATTAAATTTCGATCAAACTTTGTGGTTGTCTCCGTTAACAACCTCTATTAAACCGCGTATACATTTTTTGGGCCCCTCTGTTTAAAGCTGGTATAGATCTACAAAATTCATATAAATTTTATCCTCAATATCTCATGGATTTTTAGTTTGGTCTTTTATAAAAGTTCAAATAGCCACGGAAGTTGACGCGCCTGTATACCAACCCCCCCCCCACACANTTGGGGCTCTTATATTCATTCCTGGTAGCGTTTTCTTTTTTATTGCCAACTTCATTTAGTGTTTGTATGCCTGTCTGCGCAACCACGTACAATTACTTCGCTTCGAACGAAGAGCCTATACTACAGCGCCTCTGCCAAATTTAGTACAAAAGGCAAAAGTAAAGCTGTCCCTGTAACAGGTCGTGAAGGCCCATAGGTGTGTGAGAGGTCGAGGCGCCCACATTTTCTCTAGACAGTCGGCTCACAGATGGCGGTGAGGTTGTCAGCCTTACGCGCCGGCCGCCCTTCACCCCTCAGGAAGAATCCTGGTAATCATTTCTGTTAGAGGCTGAGTCGACCCCAGGGCCATAGTGCTTCTGGAAGGATTAGGTTAATTAAAAAATCCAGTGACCTCATCGGGATTCGATCCCGCGACCTTACTGCTTGTAGCATAGTGGCTCAACCAACTGCACTACCGCTTGCCCCATCAGCCAAATTTAGTTCTGGTATAAATTTGGCAATGTGGACTGACACTTTACATTATGATCTAAACACTTTTTGGATATCGTTATGGGCCCATACGTGTAGGTTAATTGCGCCTGAGGAAATCTAATCAGGTAAATGTTGTTCAATTAAGAGTAATGCCGTAGAAAGAAACAACGAATATAAATGGATATATTCATTTCTGAGTAAGGATTGTTTCAATAAATATTCAGGTTTGAACAGTCCTGTATGAAATTATTTAAATCTCAGATTCAGGTCTGTTCTTCATCGGTAAGTCGCGAAAGTAGATGGTATTTAAGGAAACGTTTTATTTATTTATGGAAAAAAAATTTTTCATATATGATGCCCCAAAATATCAGACACACTAAACCAAAAGCAGTCATGATATTTCAGATGGGTAGAAATGTATGCGTGTTATTAAAGAATTGTTTTCTAGTTATATATTTGCTCAGGTAACTCTGTTATCTTCTAGATAATAAGTAGCTATGTTCTTCCATTTTGAAGAAATGAATACATAATAATAAATTACCTGTTATGTGATGACAAAGTTCCGGGACAGTTTTAATGTTGAGAAATGAAACACAGAGTACGGACATTAAACAGTTCTTGTGGAGTTCATTTCTGTCGCTGAGAGCTGCTGTTTTGTCCACACACGTTTCATGGACGCGTCGCGTTACGAAATGGCTGACGTGAAGGAGTGTTTTCTTTTTGCCAATTCTGCGTGAAACGCGAGAAGACACCCACGGAAATGCGCGAAACACCGGATTATACATGTATTACTGAAAGTCCGAACTATTCCGCACATTTCACCACTTTCCTCACTTTCAAGGTGACCTTTTTTTCGCGGAACATGGTGGACTTTCCTTTTATTCACGAAATTGGACAGTGAGGACTCAGTCACTCTGTTTCATTATAAAAACTGTTAAGACTGATGCCCCAGGAATGGGAAATTTTGTCACAAATGGTGGGTGATCCTTAACTGGAAGTGAAAGATTTAGGAGAGTGCCAACGAAATGGGTGCCGACCCGGTCAACAGTGCCCATATGGAAATTATTCTCCTGAAATAAGCTTTCCCTGGTTTACCAGACTTCATGTTCTCCAAATTTTGCAAAGAGTGTTCTTATGTTCCTCAGATTTCAGTGGACCCAGAAATTATGGAAGTAGTTCGTCCCGAAACAAATAGAACCAGAAGTTCTGTAACAAGTGGCAGGATTCATGGAATCACCGTGTACAACGATGATGAGTCTGTTTTGAAAGAGAAATGATATTGTTTTAACAGTTAGTTTCGCCAGCGACCTAACTTTGTGTATTGAATAAATAAAGGAATCTCAATGAAAGGATTTGGGCCCTTCTTTCCAACGCGCATTATGATTTTTAACTGGGCACCACCAGATTTCAATCACTGATTCATTTCACATTCCAATTTTTTTTTTAATTTGAATGCAAACCACGTTGAGTGTTTATGGAGTGAGCTGTCTCCTCCCTTTGTTCCAGCAGGGTGTATTGAAACAGTTAACCCTTCCCGTAACTCTCCAATAAATGTAAATAAAGCCCTCCATGTTGGTTTTTATTTGATAACTGATTCATGGGATGTAGCATTTATATACCCTATCGACAAATGAGCTAATTCCGTTTTTTCCTTCACTTCTAGACGCGTTCGCAACTCTGTGGACACCTCTTAAATTTTCTCATTCTGTTCTACCTCCTGTCTGTGGACATGAGGAAACTCCAGAACCACTGGAATGATTTTCATAGAATTCTATATTGGGGGACATTAGTAAAATGTGGCCACAAGTTCCATTTTTGGTTAAAATACTATAAACATAAGCTGAACTTTACATGAAGATCTACATACATTTCTTCGCGCATATCGAGTGCTTGCAAAATATTTTTCGAAGTGAAAAGTTAAAACGATAGTTGTAGAAAGAAATGAAAAGCATTTTATGACCAGTACGCGGTTTCTGTAAGCCTTGCGGGTTTCGGGATAATTAATCGAAAGGTACGCTATATATACATTTCGAACACACCCGAATATTTCTCGTGTCTTATTCTCTACAATAACTAAGCAAAGCTTCATCCCACCTGAATTTGTAGGTTTATGCTAAAATAAATGCATATTTAAACTAAATATAAGTTATCATGCTGCCGAAGACTTTTCTTCTTGTTAATAATGAGTTAATTACGCAAATATAAATGCTTTAGTCGTTTTACCAAGATATCACAGTTTAAACGGGGGAACAAATACTGAATTTACACAGCGCTGAAATAAGCTTTTGTTTATTCGTGTAATGTAGTGCTCTGTTGCGTTAGCACATATTAAACTATGTAGTTCATTCATTCATTCATTCATTCATTCATTCATTCATTCATTAGTAATTTCTCAGACGACAGGTCCACAGTCTCTTCCAAAACAGTTCATCCATTTAATGCGATCTAGAGCTTTCTCTTTCAAATAAGAATATCCTCTTCTCTCCCCAAAGTCATCCAGCATCTTCTTACGTCTTCTTCCTCGTATTTTGGTCACGTCTATCCGCCCCTCTATCTTTCTCTTATTTCGTATAGGATATTCCTCTACTCGCTAACTCTAGTTAGTTAGTTAGTTAGTTAGTTAGTTATTAGAGAAGGTGGGTTTCCCCATGCACTTAGACCTGTAGTGGTCCATTGTGCTTCCCTATATGATTTCTACCAGCCTCTATATCCTACCGGTATTGGTGCTTACCATCAGCCCCGCCCAGCCAGCGAGACCGGCTCTACTGACTGAGAATTATCTATAATGCTTCCCCCATCTACCGGAGGTATTAGTGACTGCTGTCGGGCGGCAAACGTCCGCAATTTTGCTCAGTGACCTCCTTTGGAGACATGAGGTTCTTTTACGTGCCGTAAAGCTACGACACGGGACCCACAGCTTAAAGTCCCTCCCGGAGGACTTGTTCCCTGAATTTTTCCGCCCTTAAAAATTCGACGACCTCCGTCGGGTATTTGAACCCGCGTACTACCAGTCATGAGGTGGGAACGTTACCTCTAGACTACGGAGGCCTCTCTTACTAACTCTAAATAACATTTCTTCATTTCTCCCATAATCGGTCTAACTGATCTTCTCCACACCACATTTGGTATCTCTGTTTTTGGAAAAAGACTATCCAGGAAAAGTGGTAATGTGGTAGTTTCTCCATTTGCTTTCCACACTCTGGTCACGCCTGTTGCTATACGAACTTGAACCCTCTCGAGCATCATTTGCTCTGTGCTTCAAGTCGCTGCTGATGACGCTGCTTCCGGCATCATTTTTTGGTTTTTGGTGTCTCTCTTCGTCTGATGCCTACCCTTTGACCTGTCCAGCAAGGGAGGCCCTGCCAGTAGCTACACTACCGCTGATATAGCTCTCAGGGTCCTTGGAACACTCAAACCCCCTCACCACGATAAGTTGGAGACACTACTAGCAAGCATATAGTAAATTTAATGTGGGAACTTCCTGCAAAAACTAATAGTGTTTGCATGAAAGTGAATTTTATGATATAAATAAACAAAAGAGAATGTGCATGGGTTTATGTGTTAATGGTGTAACTCAAAAACCAAGGAACCTAGAAAGCTGAAACTTGGCATACATATTTAGGGAAACCTGAGGGTATGCACCTAAGGTCTATTTTTCTAGTTTCGCATCCCCTCCGTTTATGGACTGCAGTTAAGGAGTTTACATACGAGCAATATTTCTGTGTCGAACCCTCTCGAGCATCATTTGCTCTGTGCCTGTGTAGTTGTAGGAAAGTAATTTTCTTTCGGACAATAGGCTCATACGGGTAGTTCGAGTTTAGGTAAGGGCAAGATTTTCTCTACACTTCATCCAGACCGGCTCTGGGGCCCACCCAGCCCCATATTCAGTGGGTATCGGGGACTTTTTCGTCGGGACTAAAGCGGCTGGGACGTTAAGCTGGTCAGTTACCTCCAGTTAATGGCGAGGTCAACAATACATGGATATCTGATTATACTTGCAGTATTTGCCTGTAGTTTTTACTTCTCTCCAGTATGAGCACGTGTTAACAAACAGCGAATAGCCACATGTGAATTCATTGTTTGTTTGTTTGTTTGTTTGTTTGTTGTAAAGGAAATGTTCTTCGTGATCTTAATTTTTCAATTTGTGCGAAATAGGGCATCTCAGTAATTACAGAATATGTCTTACCTTTCTCACGTAAGAAACATTTTCTTTTGAGTAATTTGAACGCATCAATTATAATAATAACTTCTGCGGAATATGACTCTTGATGAACCCTCCACTTTTATATTCTTGTTTGATTAAAGCGATTCTGCAATGGACGGTTTAGTGCTGTTTCATACTAAAAAGATATACATGCCTTGTTTAAGCACTTGACCAATGTATGGTTAGACAGAGTCGTATAATTTCTTTGATGCGATGGGGTGCAGATAGAAGAATTTTGTTCACCAAAATGAAGCTTCGCCGGTCACGGTAGCCGAGCGGTCTGAGACATGCACTGTCTTCGCTCGCTTTTAAACCGGGATCGTGGGTTCTAATCCAACTCAGGGCGTGTGTGCGTTTTTCTGTGTTTGTGTACAGGTAGAGGCCTTGCGACGAGCTGATCACCCACCTTAGGAGTCCTACCGAATGTGTACGATCTAGAAAACCCCAAGTGAACGGAGAAGTTCATGGAGGTAGGCCTAGGTCCACTAGGGCTGTAGTGCCAAGGAAAAAAAATGAAGCTTCTTTGAGACTAACTGATTAAGAAACGCTAATCTGCAGTTTGGGAGTAACACGTAGTGGCTTGTTGGGCAGCCCCGTTTGATTCAACCCTTTATATTGCTGTTTAAATACGGTGCGTGCGTACAAGCGTGTGTATCACAACTGGTTAGTGCTACTAAAATTAGATTAACTTATGACTTAATTTGACTTCGTTGGTAGACAGTATCTTCATACTGCGGAAATTAAAGGTGACTATTAATTTTTTTTTTTTTGAAACTAATTTCGTCTTCCGGAGAAGGAAACTTGTGTGAAGTATGTGTATTTTAAGTCTACTTTCACTATTCGTTTAACACTAGAATCACGTTTCGGTTTTTTTAAGAATATTGTACTGGACAAAAATCGGCCTGAGTAGCAGCACGTTTAAGGTAGGCGGTAGACCGAACTTCAGCTTCATTCTCGTAGTGCCTGTAGGATTATTTATGACCTCGTAGGTGTCGAAAACATCGCTAGGATTTACTGGCCGATATTTGTTGTTTGATCTCTAGAGATGGTTTATTCTTGAGCTTAAATTTATAATCTCGGAGACAGAATGATGAGACTTCACAAATCACTCTCTCCCTCTCTCTCATAATATAAAAGGTGGAAATACAAAATTGATTCCGGCTTTACTGTTTATGGGTCTGATTGCCGAGTTGGCTATATAAAACCCACGTTACAAATTTGCCATTTGTTTATTCGCATTACACATTGGAAACTGAAAGCATAGAATTTCTCATTGCATAGAAATTAGCCTTCATTTTGATCAGTTGTTTTTTGATGCAACATTGCACTAAAGAGAACTAAAACATTTAATTTGTATGTTTTAAAAATAAAAACCTTATACCTCCCTACTTACAAGATTAGCTACAAGTTGCACGGCAAATACGTTTAAAGAAGCATCAAAATTCTAAGTTTGGCGAAAAATTGGAAGAGAACTAAAATATTTATTTTTGCCTTTCCCTAAAATAGAAGTCAGACAGTTGAAAAATTTACAGTGTCAACCATAGAATATTTAAGGTACTGTATATTCTGAAGAGTTTATGTTAGTAATCATGAGCAGGAGAAAAAAAATAAAAAGACAAATTCTGAAATTCGTGTTTTGATGGATCACAATATTATGAAAATTAAACTTGAAAAAGGATATATGTTTCTCTTAACAGCATAGGGATAGATAGAATAGTTTTGGCACAGTGTGGCCAGCAGTAAGCAATGTACTGGATAGAGAAATGGTGTGACATATTTTGTATTAATGGAAATAAATTTAAAGTTGCCTTTAAATCAATTATTTACTTCAATATTTATGTGGTTATATCTGCCACTATTAGTAACTAAGAAGTGTTTCAGTAGTACCTGCTGGCAAGACTTCGTGCTGAGTGGGTTGTCATACTGGTAGTGCTCTAGACTCACAATTATGAGATGCTCGGTTCGAATCTCAGTCAGGGCACAGACTATCTGACAGTGGATTTTCGTGGCGCTTGTCAGTCCTTCTAGGCAAATAGCAAGATAATACCTCAGTCAGGCCTCAACCGCTTCCTTTCACATCCTTTCCAATTCATCAGTCCTATCTTTTAATTCTTTGTACTGTTGATCCTGACAGCATCATAAAATAACTCCCCCGCCAGATACTGTTCATAAGATTATATTCATAAGACTTTCTGAATAGTAAGTATGGAATTAAAGTGTACATAAGTGCCTGTTTCCATTAACGATTTTGTATTGTTTCATTTATTCTCCATTTCATGAGTTTTGTTTAGGTTTTCTGGCAACAGGTGACACCATTTTCTTCTGTTATAGATCACAGTTGTCAAATGGATCCCTGTACATCACCACAATGTTTCCAGAGCAACAGGGCCTAAAAGGTGACTACCAATGTGTGGCCACACTGGACAGTGTTGGTTCTATTGTCAGCCGCACTGCACGTCTCAGAATTGCAAGTAAGTGCACATGGATATTTTAGCAGCTCCACTCATATGAGTTTTCTCGAGACACTGGAAAGCATGTGACTGAAGCAATGTCTTGGTATTTCTGCTGTGCTGCAACAAAGCCTGCATTGAACCTGTTGTGCACATAATTAGTATGCATGTGTGTTCAAGTGTAGCAGATGGGTATCACATCACAGAAATATAAATTTTTCTCTGTTTCTGAAATTAAAAATGGCTCTGAAAGGCTGTACATGTTTTTATATGTCTTATCATTCCATACTAATAATTTTAAATTGATCGATTTTTAATAAACCAAGTAGAAGTTTATCTGCCAGTTTTTTTAATATGTGACTTTGTGTTTTCATAATATACAGGTCAAGTAGTGTTTCGTTTAGTGTTAGAAGGAACTCTTAACCCATTGACTTAGCAGATTTCTGTGAAATTTGACGTTGGAATTCTTCACTAGAACTTGTTGGGCAAATTTAATTTTGATCCTTAGCATCCTAATATGTATACCATACTCAAATGTAATTTTATCAGTGGTCACTGTAAAAAAAATGCACATAGAAAAATGTAATTTTATAGTGTGAGTATTTAATGAAATACTAGTAAACATAATTTCTAACTCCATGATGTGATATCTATAGTGTTCTGAGATGTTCAGCAGTTTTCTTAGGCAACAAATGAAACATCAGAATATGCGAATCATATTTCCCCCCTCCCTTCCAAAGAAGTCACTTTCACAAAATAGAAATTAAGAATACATTGTTCCAGTCTTGTTTCCCCTAGTCTGTGTCTGCAGCAGATAATACAGTTTGGTTTTCTATGCCTGTTGGAGGACCAGCGGTGTGATTGGACAGATTGGCAGCTGTGTGTGCTATAGCACTAACATGACACTCACTCCAGCCCCACTTAATGCTGATTGGTATGAATCTGAACAACCCCATGGATAGCCAGTACTTTGGCACCTCCATTTGTGGGAATTCTGAAGATGTAATAACCACCCTATTATCGACACCCTTCCTTTCCACAGCATGGAGATTACAGCAGAGGGGTGTTTAAAGGCAATATGTTGTCACGATAAAAAGCCAGGCCTTAGTGCAAATGAGGCATACTCTACTTTTCTGCAGATTTGAATAGGTCTGTCAGAGGATCTCATAGGCACTGCTCACCCAAAATAAATTATTTTCTTTTTATTTGAATGCACACACTGAATTGAACCAACTCTGGATGTGGGTTGTTGATGGACTTTTCATGGTGGGTTCAATATGAGCAGGGAATTTGTTGTACAGTAATATATCTGGTTATGGGGAGACATTATGGAAATTAGACACAGTAATTAACCGACTGATTGGATAGTAACTATTTATATAAACTAATTTCTTGTCCAGTATGATTTTGTCAAGCATAAATATGCAGTGACATTTGTATTTGGTGTGTGTACATGTGTGTGTGAAAATTTCAGATCAGAATGAATTAAAGTTATTGTGTACTTCTTTGTCACATGTATCAGTTTAGCACTGCATAGACAACTATGCGATACTATGTGAAAACTGCATGTGGAATGTGAAAGAACAAATACTCATACATGCAGAATTTTTGTGACTTTTCACTGAAGGGTGAGACTGTGGCATTGATACTTCGATGAGATGGTAATATTAAAGTTAGTATCAAGGAAATAGATAATAGATTTTTGCGGATTGTGAAATACATTGAATTTACCTAGCATAGAATGGGCATGCAGCTCTTGAATGTGTAGTGTTCTTTTACTGAAAGGTTAGTCGTTTCATTAACATTATGGAGGTATATTTTCGTATTAATTTATTATGAACGATTGCCAATCTAAATATCTTTGAGAGTGTGTGATCATTGAATAGTGACATATACGTAATTCTATTCTGAATATGAAATTGGAACCGATGTTATCCAACTGAAGATCTAGTTGAACACAGGTCATTTTTCCCCCCACAAGGTTGCATACCCTAGGTATGATGTTCCTCAGAGATGTTTTAGACAACTACAGATACGTTTGTAACTGATGTAACAGATATAGGAACTTGATNTTACCGTGTCTCACGGTGTTGTCGCTTGCAGATTTACTTATACTTTTTCTTCAACCCTGAAGATGGGGGCGATACGTTCCTCCGAAACGTCGGTTAACACCACATATACACGGTGCCAAATCCCAGAAGACTTCTTTCTTCATAGTCACCGCCGTGAAAGCCTCAAATCTTACAACTACAGATACGTTTGTAACTGATGTAACAGATATAGGAACTTGATGCAACTAGTTTTCGTGAGCTGTGCCAGTTCTAGTAATGAATAATAGTTATGCATGGATCTGTTGTCTAGTAGTCAGAGTTCCTGCCTACAGATCCAGATGTCCGGGTTCGATTCCCGGCGCTACCAGATTTTCTGAGAGGTAGTGGGTATGGAATGTGGTCCACTCCGCCTCGTAAGGATAATTGCGGAGCTATTTCAAGGAAACAGAGGTTCCGGTCTAGAAAACCGAAATTAATGGTCGTGGGGATTCGTTGCGCTGACCACGCGACACCCTCTAGCCGCTAAAGTTGGCACTAACTTCGCCGACAAGCGGCGGTCGCTCGGTCTGTATAGTTCACTTGCGAACTCGAGCCACGGAGTTTGTTATGGAACTAACAAGAGAATGGTCTGATCCGACATGTCGAAACCTGCCCTGATTTTTGTTTTCACTGCAAAAGTCACACACCAAATCCAATGTCACAATTTTCGCTGCTAATACGAACTGCAAGTATTTCTTAAAAATTGCCGAAGTTACTCATTTTCTCTGTACGCAGAACCACTTGTACCAGAGGTTTGTACAACCCCAGCCTAGGCTGAGAGTCAGCCGTGTTGCGTGTTGCGTACTGCTCTGCTAGGGGTGGACATTTCTCCAAGGGTCTGGCAGGCTACAGTATTGGCCATGTTCAGCATTAAAAAAAAAATACTTTCAGTGTGTATTAGCAGCTAAAATTTTGATAGTGAATTTTGTTGTGTGTACTCTTGCAGAGAAAACAAAAATCAGGCCAGGTTTCGACATGTAGGATCAGACCATTCCCTTGTAAGCTTTGTTCTCTTTTCTTGTGTATTCTGTGATGGACGATTTTGTAGAAGCTACAATTAACTATCTTTAGGCTTGTTTACAGGCTCAGCATTTCTAATTTCTTGTTTTCCTTTTATTTGCATAAAAAGTTTCCCCTTTTTTGGTTCTCAACAACATTAACGAATCAAAATTACCTTCAGGAAGAAATTATGTCGAAGTCTTGTTACACGACATACAGACTAAATTTGGGGAATTGGGGAATTCCGTTCAAAAAATCTTGTCTTGTTTTAATCAGTTTCAGCATGTAGAGCTGTATATATGGAATGACCGCGATATAGGCCGTTTCAGAGAAACAGCTCGGTAAACGCTTTCTCGTGGCAATGAATACACACGCAACAATAGAAGAATTGTGTTTTCTGTGTGGTCCATGCCAAGAAATTATAATTAGGGAAGTTAGAGCAATCAATTCAGTTGAATTCTGCAAGGGAGGCTAAGAAGAGATGGCGCTATAATTACGTGGAGTTCAGTTGTGGAGTGTTAGGCAGCGGGCAACGGTGTGACCACAGAAGCTGAAGAATCTCCATTGTTAAGATCCGATACCAGGAAACGACTAGTAGAAACATATGTGCGAGTATAATTGTATGATAATTATACAGTTTCTAATTCTCGGCATGTTTCGGCCACTGTTTTTGTCCATCAACAAGTACTATCTGATGCAAACATTGGCCAACATAAGAAGAATAGCAGAGAGAGTTGAGAGTGACTGTATAAGTACTACCTGCTGATGGTCGAAAATAGTGGCCGAAACATGTCATAATTGTAAAAAGGTAAGGTAAATGGTAATACTATCCCTGTAACGTGCCGTAAAGTCATCTAGGATTGTGGGGATTGTGGGACATCGAGGCTCCCACATTTTCTCTAGACAGTCGGCTCACAGATGGCGATGAGGTCAGCCTTACGCGCCGGCCGCCTTTTACCCCCCAGGAAGATTCCTGGTAATCATTTCTGTTAAAGGCGGAGTCGACCCCAGGGCCATAGTGCTTCTGGAAGGATTAGGTAAATAGAAAAATCTAATGAACTCATCGGAACTCGGAACCCGCGACCTTCCGGCTTGTAACATAGTGCCTCAACCAACTACGCTTCCGCGTGTCCCCTTATCATAATGTAGAAACTGTATAGTTATCATAGAATATAGATATATTGTGAGACTGAAACTGAATAAAATATTGTCGCATGTTGCAGGGTTGTGAGTATTAGACGAGTTTTATATTGGATGATTGGATTTATTGCACTTATACGCTCATCTCATAACTACAAATGATACAACGCTATCGCTGATCTCAACACTTTACAATTCACTCTTACAAACACTAGTGTCCTCAGTCAATTACAGTCTCCGCTAGCCGTTTTCTGGCAACGGATTTTGACACAGTAATTGTACCAGTCTCTCTGTAACTGCAGCACATATGAAGTCTTCTTTTCACAGCCTAAATGCTTTCTTGCCATTTCTCCTCAATCATCTTTGACTGCCATCTCAAGACATACTCTCAATTCTTATTTCCGCTGGCCTGAAATCCTCGTTGTTTAGCCATGGGGCGGCCCCAACAGAAAACACCGTTTCGTAACAATTCCTCTGTTGTTATAGAGGTGTGTTTACCTCTGGCAGTTCTTCTCTTCTAGAGTGCGTGTTCATTTCCTTGGTAACCAGTTTACCAAGCTGTTATCTAGTAATGAACTGTTCCGGCTTTCAGGCGTCATGTCACAATATTATACATACAATATGACGCTAAAATACAATATTACTCTTTTCTTGTTATCTGCTGCTGGTATCTTAAAAGATAAACATTTTAGTACACAGAGTTCCTCAACCCAAAGATATAATTTTTCCCTCCAGAGCTCTCAATCGAAATAGTCTTCATCCTTGAGGTGTATTTAGAGCTATAGTTTTTCT